AGGTATGTCGCAACAAATTATGGCTTATGAAGTATGTTATGTAAAGAAAGCATTATTCATTCATTCGCTCTCTGCCAACAGCCACGTAAACTGAAGGGAGTGAAATAATTTCAACTTATAAAAAGCAACTAGCGTTAGAATTTGTTATGTAAAAAGATTGGTCTTATAGTTAAGGGCTAAGTGAAGAGAAGAAATTCAGTGCCAATATTCTTCGCCGAAAACTACTAACGCGGTAATAATGAAAACTGGGACTGTGTTTGGGTGAAATAAAATTAATAGGTTTTATTTTCTGTTTTGACGATCGATTTCGGTTTCACTAAACCATCTTCAGAACTTTAGCTACAAGATGTTCGTTTGTTTTTATGAAATTTGTAAAGGAACCGCCATTGTTCTACAATTTTTAAACAAATTGCATAGGTGATGATACATTTAGCTTGTTTATGGTGTTATTTTTATGGATTAGCGCGTAACAAATTTCTAAAAGGAAAACGAAATACTGAAATACAAATTAAAACGAAACAATCACACTATTTCACATACAGGGTGGCCCAACCTCATTGAAGGTGCTGTCACCTGACACCAAAAGAACGTCTATGTTAACTAGTTTACACAACAATATATTTGTAATATTCGGGTTCCCAACAAGGTGTTTTCTAATATCGTCACGCGCGCGGCGCGGGGAAAATTAGTGCTAGATATGTAAGTAGATTTTATACATTCTACTTCATCTACTTTGTTACAATTTCGTAAGCGTAAAACATGACAAGGCGAGTGCTCTGGCGATGAGTTCTTTTGTGTATAACGTAAAATGTGCAACGAAAGCAGAACCTTTAATAATGGTGTACCTAGGTACCTACTTCAAATAAGTTTCATAAAGCTATATCAACAACATCAAAGAGACTTTACCACAATCTGGTATGACAGTTGGTTAAACCCCTCTTTATTCAAAATCCTTCAAGTAATTAAAACGTAATGGCCGCTTTAATTAAATCGGCTGATTTACATTCAACACGATTGTGTACTTTTCGACAATCCCCCTCAGATGTTAAGCTTTATATATTGTCAAGAAGTTTAGTATTTCGCCCGAAAGCATCTTGTTAATTTGATTGGTTGTCAAAATTGTTTACTCTCGATTTCGCTCTCATTTATTTAGCTTGCGTGTAAAATGAAGAGGCTCCTTTGGGAGTCTGTTATGTTAGAATTTTATAAGATACCATTTCGAGGTTTATATTTCACTTTCATTTGGCATTCAGGACGATTGAACCATTCAGCCAAAGCGAAATTACTCTCTAAGTAAACGTTCTAGAATGTAACGTATTAACTTTTAATAACACTAAAAGTTGATTACATTACATTTTGTTAGAAAAGTTTTTCGACAAAAACGAGAACGAAAAGCTATTGAGCGACTTGACGAAGAGCCCCGAACGTGATTAACCTTATTAGCGATAATGAGGAAAATCACTTTTAAACTTTTTTTTTCTGCGTTTGCAAGGGGTTGCGGATATCGTGCCATTTGTATGCATCATCACGGCTACGGCGCGCAATAGAAAATAATGGTACTTATACGAGAAAACGTTCCAACATTTCACTCACTGATGTAAAGGGCGAAATTGTGTGGTTCAAAGAGAACGGGGGATTGAGTGGTACTTTCTTCGTTAAATATTTTCCACGTGCAGGTCGAACTATTAGATCTTAACCTTCGTCGTATTAGCAGAGCTTTCGCGTTAATTGAATATCTTGCATAAAGGCATTATACATATATGGCTTTGCATAACTAACGAAAGCAAGATCGTTATTAGATCCTGGCTTTGTAATAATATTTTCTTTGATAGCTCAGAATGCGTGTTGAATTATTTCGACTTATGTTAGATCGTTAATTTTCGTGGGAAAAGCTCTATCTTAAGAAAAGCGGTAAATAAGGATTTTCGTTAGTTTGCAGTCACGTCATCAATTCTGTTTTTGGGGAATATTGTAATGCCAACGTTTTAACAAAAATCTACAATACCTACCTATTCGTAAACGTTGGTATTAGCACAGGTTACCCTACACTACAGGGTAATCTGTGGTTTTCCATAACAGAACAACATAATTGGTGCACTTGGTAGGAAAACGAATTTCCACTAGTGTGACGACAAAAATTTCTCAAAAGTAAACAAAGCTGAAAAATTTTCGGATAAAATTATTTATACCAATTTGATCTCCTTAAATGTTTAAGCTTTACAGAAATCGATACCAACACAATTTCCCGTCTCGATCCCCTTTTAAATTCACTTAGTAGTCTTCCACTTTAGTGGAAGAGTATAGGACGCGACACACTCAAGAGGACGTTTTAATAACTTCATTTCACCGCGTGAAAATCTGAAAACAAAAATCTCTTCACGAGTAAAATATGTTCCCATATCTTTAGACCGTAATTTAGATACTTACTTGAGAACTTTCCTTCGTGCCCGCCCTTTTCCTTTATCTCTGTTTTTCACTTAACAACTCCTTGTCATGGTGTTTGGTTTCCGTTTCGAGCGGAATTATAAAGTGAGTTTCCCCAACTTTCAACTTATAACAATATTACAACATACTAAATGAAGTCTCGCTGTATATATAGTTCAACAGTATCGTTTTCGTGTTCGTGATCGAAAAAGCTCAGGGAAAATGAGTTATAGAGCATATAGAAAATTTTGAAGGTTCGTGAAATCGGATATTTTGTCAGCATCGTTAAATCGAATTTATTTTGATACCTATCGGCTGTGTGCGCGTACTAAAATTAATTACTGTCACGCGTACGATTTTTTATTAAAGAACGTGGTGTGCAAACATCTCGTTTAGTAACTAGAGAAGATTTATCATAGCTCTATTGAACCTACTGTATGAATGCAGTTTTTTAATACTCCATTACAATGAAAAAATGATATGGTAATCATTTGGGGTAGTTCGTGCACAAATGGAACGAAAGGTCGGGACAAATGCAGCCAACGGAGGAGGAGTTTAAGGACGTGATTGCCACTTTAAAGTTAAACAAGATTAATGAGCTAAGAACAGTACTGAGACATATTAAAAAACCATAAAGGTACGTAGAATGCGCTGGTAGGTACATTTAAAAAGAATGGGGGGAACGACAGAGGTGAAAAAAGTGGGGGCCCACCACAGCAAGACCAAAGGGAAGACCAAAGTGTAGGTGGGAGGACTAAGTGATTATAAGGACATAGCAAGTCTGGGAGTAAAAAATGGAGGGAAAGGATACAGGGCCGGAAAACTTGCTACCAGAAGAAGCCAAGACAAGGAACGAGTTAGACTGGGAGAAGAGGTAAAGAGCGTGGAGTAAGAAGTGGAAAAGATGGTTGTTAATTACACTATTCACTTATGGGATATTCTTTACAATTTCACTCTTTGTAGAGTGTATTGAAACAAATCAACACTATAATCTTTTTACCTACTTTCTATGATAGTAATGCCTAAAAACTGCTCTCAACTTCAGCTATCTGTATAAATACACAGAAAAATGTAATTTGTCTTTTATCTTAAAATAAATTACCTACAGTAAATAAAAAAAACTGAAAAAATATGTAAAAAATAATTACGAACCTACAAAATGATTGTGTAAAGCGTATTCGACATTAAATTGCGCTGTTTTGAGGTACTACATTAAGCCTTTCCATAATGAAGGCAAATAGAATTTCTTTTAAATTATAGCGTACATAATTTTCCACGTTCCGCGCTTTACACGTTTATAACTAATTAAGCGAAAGAGAAATTTGCTCCC